AGTTAATCCGGCTGCTAGTACTATTAGATGTATATAATGCGTACCTCGTTTAATAGCGAGGATACTATTAAATAACCTTGCAAATAGGGATAGTTAACCGTTTATAGACAAGCTATTACGTACTTAGTAGAGGGACGCCTTTGCTACTAAACGTATCGATAGGCTTATAAGTAGACGAAAGACTCGATCTAGCAAGAGTAACAATTAGTCGATCGATAATAAAGGTTATTTAAAGTTCAAGGGTAGATACTATATCCCCGCTAAACATTTAATCCGATAAGAACTTCTTAAGCGACACTATAATAGTAAGCTTGCTAGTTACTATAGTATAGAGAGGTCGTACGAGCTACTATCGCGCATATACTACTAGCTAAATAGTAAGCGGGATATAAAGGAATACGTTAATATATATACCGTATACTAACGTATTAAGGCACTAAAGCATTAGCCTTTTAGCGAGTTGTCCTCTTTACTAATCCCTTACAAGCCGTTTGCAGAGCTTATAATAGACTTTATTATAGGCCTTCCGCCTACTAAGCGTAGAGGTAGCAAGGACGTATATAATACTATCCTTGTTATAGTAGATCGATTTACTAAAGGCGCTCGATACATCCCGGCGCGCAAGGATTAGACTGCTATTAATATAGTAGAGGCGCTATAGACTAACATCTTCTATACCTATTAGGGAACCTCTAAGGGGATAGTCTCCGATAGGGGCTCGACATTTATATCGCACTATTAGAGCGAATTATGCCTATAGCTAAGACTAAAGCATCGGCTATTAATAGCCTTCTATCTATAGACTAACGGTTAAACAGAGAGGCAGAATGCTACCCTATAGCAGTACTTACGCAGTTACATTAATAAGAACCCCGAGGAGTAGGTTAACCTCCTATAACTAGCTGAATTCGTATATAATAACAGTGTCTACTTATCTACTAAGGTCTCTCCTTATTTCGCTATAATAGGCTAGAACGCTACCTTACTACAAGATCTATTTACGTCGCTCGAGGCCGAGCGCAAGGAAAGGGAAGCGTATTAAGTACTAACCCCTAAAACACTAGCGGCTATTAAGAGGGTTCAAAAGATGCGAGAAATTCACGCTAAGATAGCTAATAAACTAGCGAAGGCCTAGGCCTATTAGAAGGCCTATTATAACAAACACTATACGCTAATAACCTTTAAGCAAGGCGACCTAGTTATACTAAGCACTAAGAACCTCCGTATCCGCAAACACCTATTACCTAATAGCAAAACAAGGCCTAAGCTCGTACTAAGATACATTAGCCTATTCCGTATTCGAGAAGCTAAGGGCATATAGGCTTACTAGTTGTAGCTTCTACCTTATTATACTATCTATAACACCTTCTATATATCCCTCCTTAAGCCGTACTACCTGCGCGAAGGGGATAAAGCACCTGCTAAATCCGAGGACATACTAGCTAATAGCGAAGAGCTATAGTCTATAGAACGTATCCTAAAGCATCGGACTAGATAAGGCAAGAAGGAGTACCTCCTAAGATAGTAAGGCTATCTACCTAAATAGGACTCGTAGGAAGCTAAAGGTTCCTTTAAGGATATAACCGAGTTATTAGATAAGTATTAGACTAGCGTAAAGAACAAGAAGAAGGCTAAAAGCTTATAATGTTACTATTAAGGCCTAGGACAATACTACCCCCGGGGTGCTATTAGCTAACTAATTAGAGGCCGGCAAACTAGGACAATAAAACTATACTACTATAGTAAACGCGTACCGAGTGTTAATAAGCGCGCTATAACGCGTTAACTATTCGCTACTCTTTTAGGAAACTACCTCTCTACTAACGCGCCCTATAAGGCCCTTCTTCTAGTATTTAGGTCTCCCTCTTGTTCCTTTATTCTATCGAGGCCTCGAGGCCTAGGCGATCGGCGAGGGCGGCGTCGCGCTTATAACGGCGCGGCCGGCGCAGCTATATTAGTAACGGTATTGCCGAGTTGTTATTAGTTAAAGAAGGAAATTAGAAGAAGGTAAAGTTAGCGCTAAGACGACTAGCGCCGCTATTGTTAACATTACCTACTATTGCCGCTATACTTGCGAAGACAACCTTACTTATACTACGGCCTAAGGCCGGAGGCGCGCTATACTAATTAAGTTAAAAGAATAGCTATATTAAAGGTTTGATTAAAACGTTAATTAAAACTTTAAGCCGCTTAAAAGATTAAGCGATTAATAGACTAACTAAGGGCAAAAACTATAGAGCTAAGCTAGCCGGGGTCGATCTTGCGAATAATAGGTTACTCCTCGATCTTTCTAACCCTTTAAGCGAGGTAAACCTTAACTATTATACTTATAATAGCCTTTACCTATAGAAACTAGAAGAACTGAGTTTTTTGAAAAGATATAATTAGTTAACACTTAAAGGCTGCCAAACCTAACTAATTTAGGCTAGTAAAACTACGACAGTAAATAATAGCCCTCGTAATAATAAGAACAATCCCTCGGAACGGACAACCCTCGGAAGCGGACATTGCTAGGTCTTTTAAGAGTAGACGCAAAGAACTCGGTACGACATTACTTAGAACGGAGGCAGGGCTGCAATACCTCGTACGTCTACCTATTATAGTAGGAAAGACGCGCTCGTATTATAATTAGTCGAAGGTCCTCAATTCTCGTAGTTATATATTACTTTATTATATATAAGGATAGCGTAGTTAGAGTTAGATATTGTATTGTGTTAGAGGTAAGGTTTAATATAGTTATATAATCGGTAGTTGTATGTTCAATTTAGCGCGGACTAAGCGGCTTATTAGACCTACTAAGTTAGTAGCAATAGAGGTTAAGACTAGAACAAAGACCGGCTACGAGGGCGCGGCCTTTAGAAGGGAAGCGTATATTAGGACTAAAGAGGTTACACGTAATTAGTATATAACCGGGCTTAAGTAAAGCTAGGGTCTCGATGCCTTAGGTAGGGCTTAGCGCTTAGTAGTAGGCTAACTAGCCTGCCTTCCTCCTTCTCCTCCTAGTTCTCTATCGAATACTACCTATACCTACTACTACCCTATCTACCTACTAATATAACCCTTCTTATACTATAACCGGCGACTCTTAGCTATAGGACATACTCTAACTGCTAGACTATTACTAGGAGACCTTAGATAAGAGCCTCGTTAATAAGATAGCTTATTAGTATACTTAGCGTAGGAAGAGACAAGATCTTCTTAAGCGCTATCGGCTTAGGTTCTACACTAAGGAGCTATATAAACGCAACTAGACTATTAACGATATTGCTAGCTTCCTAGACCGTAACTATAAGGATATCTCTCGTATTGTTAGTAAGGTTATTACTCTAGTTAAAGCAAGGCTAAAGCACTTACCTCCTAAGCGCAAAGTGCGCTTCTTGCTAGATAGTATTAATTAGTTATAGCCGGCTCTAATAGACCGTATAGAAGCGGCTCTTAAAGGTTAGTATTTAGCTTACTTTAAGTCGATTATTGCTAACAAATACAGGCAATACTAACTATAGGCATATATCTTATAGTCAATTAAGGGACTATTTAAACCTGCCTTACTTAGCAAGGACAATGTAACGTATCTATAGAGCCGTAGGTTATCGTCGCTATATTGCAATTGCTAGACTATAGCTTAGTAAGCGGACTAAGACACTAAGGCTTCAATAGGCACTAAACTATCGCTTCTAGAAAGCAGGTAACTAGAATAACGTGTCCTTCTCGGACGAGTTTGCCTACTATAGAGGTAGATACTAACGGCTCTATATTACTCGCAAACTAACTAAACTATTTAACGACGATTGCCTAGTATCTAAGTTTAAAGAGATCCCTTATATACTATTTTAGGGCGCTATTTCCGGCCGCACTAGACGGTCTAATATTATTCTATAGTAGCGGAAGGAATAGGGTACTATTAATACTACTTCCTATATTAAACATATACTGCCTACTATCTAAGAACACCTACGACTAATTAACGATATCCTCTCTAACGAAGCCCTTAAGCGAGACATACTATTCCTTAACTTAGGCAACGATAAGGACCTTCTATTCGACCGTTACGAGTTCCTTTAATACGCACTCTTCTAATAAGACAATGCTCCTACCTACAATGCTAAGAAGACTAAAGAGTAGCTTACTATATACGGTATGCCCTTTATAGACTAGCTACTAAACAGTCCGGACCTCAATCCTATTAAGAATATATAGGTAGCTATTAAGAAGGCACTCTATACTAGTAGAGTACTAACTAAACGAGCTAATATAGAAGCTAGAGTTATATAGCTCTAGACTAATATTGTTACTATTAACTATATTAGAGAGCTTATTAGTAGTATACTAGCGAGGGTTAAGGCAGTAATTACTACTAATAGTAGCTCTATTCCTTACTAACTTTATACTTAGATTAGTCTCTTTCTATTGTAATTTGTCTCTTTCTCCGGAGGTTTAAATAAATAGCTAGCTCTTATAATTAGCTGCTTCTATACGTAGTATTTAATCTACTTTAATTAGTCTACTTAGCGCTTCTTATATGCTATAATCTTTACTATTAGGCTGCTAGCTGCCTGCCTATTGCCTATAGCAGTTAGCAGCTAAGGTTATTCACTCTTAGCAGCACTAAGCTGCTTTCATATGCGCCTAGATACGCCCTTGTCGATAACTCTAACCTTTACTTGGCCCGAGACAAGGGGGTCACCCTGTATCGGTGTGTGTCAGCCGGTGCCGATGCCGATGCCGATGCAGATCGTGGCCGTGGCCGTGGCCGTGGCCGTGGCCGTGGCAGTGGCAGTGGCAATTGCCGCGATGGCGCGAGCACCACTTCTGCCTTTCCACATGCATAACTCACACCAGAGAAATGTGCGGATGTCCTTCCGAAATAGGAGCTAAACGTGTACGAGCCGTCATACTCACTGCGGCACCGAAAGTCTGTTTCTCTCGCGAAGAACATTCGGCGATTGCTGCACTCCCAGAACTGATGGTCCGAAATTGATGCTGCAAACAAGATGGCCACGCCATTGCTGCAATTGCCGACTGAACTCATCCAACACATCCTTACATTTCTGGACGCTCACCATCTTGCATGCATTGCTCCAGTATGCCGTCGCCTTCGCGACATAAGCTATCATGACACAATATGGCAGCCGATTGTAAACGACTTCATTCCCAATGCCATCTCAGAACCGTCTCCAGCCAAATCATTTCGGGAGTTGTACATCGGCCACCATCCACATTGGTTTCTCACAAAGCAATACATCTGGTTTGGTGATACCGAACCCATGGGCAAACTGCTTCTGGCTAGATTTGATCAGAAGACCGGAGCCATCACCGCACACTCAATAGCAGCCACCAGAGGTCCTCACACCCTTTCATTCTGGGAGAAGGACTCAGAAGTCATCATTCACAGCTTCGAGCCAAGAGTAACGCTGGACCTTCACAAACCCGCCATGAGACTGCATCTCAACAGTTGGCAAAACCAGGACTCTAGCCATGGCAATCCATCCGATCGCGCCTATGCCCCACGCTCCACCTACAGCAAAGAGACGTTGATGGAAACATTCTCCGAGTCAGGACTATACAGCTCATTCATGCTCTGCCGCAATCTCCCCAAAGCTGCAATCACGGAGCAGACATCTGTATGGCCACCTTTGAGATTTCCGGCTTCTGGTCGAGCACGAAATGACAGTAACGATCGCTACTCTTCTGCTGGCCATCGTCCTTCAACGTTGGACGAAGTCAGTCAGAACAACTTCCGCATCCGAAAGTGGGTCGAGTATACAGGACGGAGAACCATTCCAAGCTGGATCACAATCAGCTCTGGCAGCAGTGTGTCAGCAGCCTTGGGCGTAGGAATGCCATACTTCGCCAATGGTCTTGGCTCTACAGCAGGAGGTACGGATATTCGCATGCCAGAAGACATCACGACCTATGCATCGATGCCTGCCTCATGCTACACACCTACACCACAAAAGCCATGGCAAGGCATTTGGTGTGGAGACTACAGCGGCCATGGCTGCGAATTTCTCGTCATCACTCAGCCCGATCCAGACCAAGAAAGCCCTTTGCCATCAAGAATGGATTGGCTACGAGAATGGTTCCGCGGTGGCCGCAGAGGCAGCGTGGGCAGCAACCAGAGTTTTGTCACTGCCATGGAAGAACTTCTCGACTTGCCAGAAGGAACCCTCACCGAAGCCGGCACAGATGTAGGCTACGACTCACCTCCGGCAAGCCCCAGCTCTGCAATGCACGATATCGAAGATCCACCCACAGGACGCATCGAAGCCATCAAATTGACCGGTGACCCGAACATCCCTCGAGGAGAGTACACATTCATAGCTCCGGATATTGGACGCGGGGGTTTCATTCGAATTGCCGATGAGGAGATGTTTCAAGGTGCTAGGGTGGTGAGGAGCGCGGGACATATGGCTGGAAGAGGATTCCAACGAGGTAAGTCGTCCAAGCAAAAAGCCTACCTCGGCCTTTGCTAACGTTTGGACAGATCAGTACACTCCATCGCAACTGATCATGATATCTCACGACCGCCTCGCACAATTCTGGGAAGGTTTCGGTCATATCTCATATTACCAGCGGGTGGACCTCGATGCACTCATGAAGTACGAGGCTTCAAATACCCATACATCATCAGAATCGAGAGCCAGCACACCTGAACCCGAGATTTCTAATGAGATATGGATGAATTAGATTTGAGTAGTTTGAGCCTTTTCGGATCATTGATGATAATGTCATGAGTATGTACAAATCGACATTAAAACTCTCAATCTTCCTTTCTCTCTGTCTCCTCCCAGAAACGCCTTGCTTGCTCGAGGTATCACAATTCAAAATCCCACCCATTTTCACGTCCATAGCAGCCAGAAAAGCAAATTTTGTTCTCGCGCGCGCATAAAATAACTGTGAGCACTTCAAGCCTCCAACTCCAGACATTCAACGCCAAATTTCCGCTCAGCACGCAGAATCAGAATAGACACATTAAGCTTTCCCTCCCGACCTCTTTGCTCTATGATCAAGACTACCCACATGATTCTCGTCGTCGTCATACCAGGCATCGCGCATAAAAATCAAGAACGCCCGCCCCAGCTAATCTGTTCTCATTTCGCAGCAACAGCGGCAGGGCTTGTGTTGTCTGCGACAGGGCTGTTGACACCACCACTTTCGTGCTGCTGAAGCCTCTTCCACATCTCCTCATTCTCCTGCTTCAGTGCGAGAAGGGCAGCATTCTCTTTCTGCAGCTTTCGTATGTACTCATTCGCAGATTCCACGGTCGCGGCTTTGCTATTATTACTCTTCGCCACGGAGTCCTCCTTCGTGTCTTTGCTGTCTGCATCGCCTACGGCTTCGGGACTATCACTGCTGGCAGGGTCCTTAGTTTTCGATTGCGCGGCTTTTGGTAATAGTGACTGCATCTCTTTGAGGGCTTCGTTGATTCGATTTCTTCGTCCCTGTTCTGCGACTTTGTGTGATGTGCGTTTTGAGGTCAGCCCTGTGGAAAGAGAATCTGGATAATGGACTCCTGGCAGGTGGTTGCCTTCGAGGAGATTCTGGTAGTTCGACTTCGAAGCAAGGAGTAGAGCGTGTGTGGGAGAATGCAGCGACGCGCCTTCGGGAAGTAGAGGTTTTATGCTTGGACTTATCCTTGGGCGAAGTGCGGGTGACAAAAGATTGCCACTGCTGCTAACGCTGCCACGCTTTTTATTCCCTCTGCCGCCTTTGCTTTCTACTTTGCCATTCTTGAGAAGCGCTCCAGGTGTCGATGCAGTCATAGGAGAACCGACCAAGGAAGGGCTCGGTGCAGCTGATGCAGGTCTTGCTGAGGACGGTGTGCTTTGGGGTCCAAGTTTGGGAGTTTTTCGCGCCGAAAGCCGTGGTGTTTTTTCTGCGGAAGTTGAAGAATGTACTTGCGCGTTGATCTGAGATAGCGAAGGTCTACGCGAGGACGTGTCTGCAGCTGCAGCAGGCAATTGGATGTCTTCTAGCACCATGTGATCGTTGGTCGCCTGTGACGATCTTTGGTCCACTTTGGCCGATACCTGAGAGGCGCCTCGCATCGATAGAAGCGATTTCGGTGTCGCCGCTTCCCCAAGAACATTTTGTGTCTTTTGGTGGCCAGTAATCGCAGGCGACTGTGTTTTGCTTGAAGTCGGCTTCGGAGGTGGACCCATAAGCGCCTCGATGAGAGGTTTGGGGCTGATGCTACCATTTTCTGAACCGTCATTTCGGGGCATTTGAAGACCTCCTGACACTGGCTGAGCACTCTTGGATCCCTGCACTTCAAGATTACCATCCAGTTCCAACGTGGGTGCTAAGGAGGACAGCATGGATCCGGATTTTCGCTTGGACGCCTTTTGGATGGGAGACTGCTTGACCCTTGCAAGCGGGCCTGCACTTCGAGGCGTTGCAACTTTCCGTCTGGTTGATTTTCGTGATTGTGGATCTAGAGCATCGTTGAGAGATAGCTCGTCTTCCATCATGTCGACATCTATGCTTGGATCCATAGGTGAAGTAGCATTTGAGCTAGGTGCAGTGCTAGGGTTTGTGTAATAGCCCTGGTTGTGCTGGGCTTGCCCATTTTGTGCTCCGAGCATAGGAGAGGTCAAGGGTGAGAAGTATGCTCCCGGTATTGTGAATTCGGGCTGCACGTTGTAATGAGGTGTACCAGTAGGCGAAACCATGGGTGTGAAGGCAATCTGTTCTCGAGTAAGCAAGATGCATGAATTTCCTCCTCCCACTTGACTCACGGCATCTTCTTTCCTCAACTGATACCTCTGCTCCAAGATTGTACGATGCTGCGGATCCATCTGGTGCTGCAGAAATCTGCCTGCCTCGCCGTGCATTTCAAAGCTGTTTGGGGTCGGTGGCACATGTTGATGCGACGGGAAACCCTGCATTCCTTGGAACTGAAATTGCTGATTTTGGTGGAAGCCTTGCATCTGCTGCTGAAATACGGCATCTTGTGCGTATGGATTGCTTGTCTGTCCTTGAGCATTGAAGCGATGCTGGTGTTGCCCATGATCGCCAGTGCTTATGCCAAATTGGTGCGCTCCAAAGTCCTGTGCATTTGTGCCCGCTGTTGCTTGTGCCTCGCTTATCTCGTCGAAGGGAGTATGTGGGTGTGTGCCAGACTGTTGCATATGTTCATCATAGTGTGGGCCATCAACACTCGGTATATTGTTCAGGTCAATGTCGCCGAATTCGAAAAGAGTGCCTAGGTCGTCGAGGGTGGTGTTTATTTGCGCCATTGGGTCGACTTGGTCTGGAGGTCGCGACCATGCCTGCTCGGTAGAGGCATCCATCAGACCAATTGAAGCGCCACAAAGCAGGTCTGCGGGCCTGGATGGCGAAGTGGTTCAATGGTGAGGAAGTGGGAGATCGCGCGGCTGTGCGCACGATCGCGGCGGCCTGGCGGACTAGCGGTTCAGGATGTTCGAGGTCCGAATGCACGTCGACGCTGGACGCCGCAACGCTGCGAGAGTCTGACAGCAGCGACAGCAGCAGCAGCAGCGGCGGCGGCAGCAGCAGCGTGTGTCGGCAAGACACTGCTTGACTGCGCGGAGGAGTGCGCCTGGACCTCAGTGTAGCGAGCGAGCGAGCGAGCGTGGTCGAGAAGTGAAGTGTGGTCAGTGGTCAGTGTGGTGAGACTAGGAAAAGCTTGTGGAGCGTGGTGGTGCTGGTTTCTCGGGTGCACTTTGACGACGCACGCTGGACTATACTCCACCTAAGCCTATGCGCAGTGATGGTAGGCCGCAGCTGCGCACGCCCGTACATGCCATGCCATGCCACGCCACGGAAAAGAGCATGATGAGGAAAGGCGCCAGATACTACACTTGGGAGGGTGAGGGCTATGGGGAGCGTGGGATGTGGCAGAGGGACTCAGGGACGAAGAACACACACGCATGGGATCAGCCGACCCAAGCAGCTGATAGGCCAGATGATGCCAATTTGCGCGAGCAAGCACATGGAAGCACAAGCTTCCGCGCTATTGCGCCTACGCCTCTGGGCCCAGCTATTATGGAAGCAGTTAGCTATATATATGCCACTGCTGTATCACCTCCCAACCTCTGCTCCAGATGGCTTCAGCGAACGCTGTTCAAACATTCCCGGGTTCTCCAGGGCGAAGTATGTACTAATGATTGCCAACCTCATGCACGATAAGCTCACAGCATGTCTTCTGCACATTGCATTCGATCAATATCTTCGACTGCACACGCTCGGTCAGGAAGGAAACATCAGTCGGGCTTTGGCCTGATCTTGGGCTCACGTGAGATGCACATGGCTGGTTGCATAGTAGATTGGCCGAATGAGGATGGCTTTTCACAGTAGTGAAAGATTTGAGAAGCCGTATGCGGCGCGAACGAAAACTCGTCGAAAGATACACCGGATGCGCGCTTCATCTTCCGTGCATGTGGCGTGGCGCAGCCTCGCGTGTAGCTAGTCGTTGGAATGGCCGGACTGCCGCTTGGAGGAGCGCCGGATGCTCAGAGGCTGTGGCCGATCATAAATATAATAACTGGATGACCAGGGCATCATCTCACAGCTGCCCAGATGCCGAGAATATCCATGTCACTCTCTGCGTGTCCAGGCGCTACACCATGATTTATCAGTGAGACAAGGCGATTTCTCCGCGAAAGAATCTGGACGTCGGCTTTGATCTTGAGCGCTGTCCTCTGCATAGGCGGCGCCGGACAGTGGTCCGCAATCTTTCGCTGGCAGAGGTTCAAATGCTGTCACAGCATGCATTCCTGGGCCAGATCATTGCAATTTATGGTGGGCGTTGAGTGATTTGCACCTTCAGTCAAGGCCAGTGCGATTAGAAGAGGGACAGGACGTTACTGGTACAGAACCTCATCTACATGTCTTGCGCCCAGTCCCCATGTACGGCATCAATGTAATTTTTGCAACTTAACGGCCCCATGCCGCTCTCGAAGCCTTCTTTCAAACAACACAAAATCGAGCTCACGAAAAGTCGCCGCTCTTTTCCCAACACCACCGTCCGCTGAAAACGCCGATGCTATAAACAAGCCAGAGAGATTAGGTATCATAGGTGGACGTGCTACATGACGGAGCAGCAGCCGTTGGATTGCTGTGGTGCATAAGGATCTTCGCGCTTGTCGATTGTGCCCCAGCGGCTGGGAACCATGAAATCCTGTGATTGCAGAGTCAGCAGGCAGAGTCAAGAGATGAGCTGGGCGCGGCGCCGCGTGACAGCTCCTAGACAACATATGTACCTTGGGCTCTTTGTCGGTGAATGCGATCAAGCTATGAGCGCGTTAGCATCAATCACAATGGCTTATGGCTGCGAGGAGCCGGGCTTACTCCATTGCAGCCTCTGACACAGGTATCCTTCTGCGGTTCAAATCCTCCTGCAATCGCTGATTGAGCTCGGTGAGTCGTCGGAGCTTCAGTTCGGCCATGGATTGCTTCTTAGTCTTGCCATTGTCGTTCGTGCGGATCTCGTAAGGTGAAGACATGGTGCTCCGCGGTCACAGGCGGTGCTCTTGGATGTCGACGGCGCGGCGCGGCGTGGTGCGGTATTGAAGCTTGACGTCTCTCAGGAGTGGCTTGAGCGACGCAGGGCGCGCGCAGATATAAGGCGGCGCGGGTGGTGTGCTCGCTCAGAGGAGTGAAGCGAAGGGAAATAGCGGTGCAGGCTGATTGAGTCGCATGCGACAATTCTCGTGCTCGAAAGTGGTTCGTACGACTGACGTGCGTCTTCTGTCTTGTCGCGCTTCCCTAGCTGCGGCGTGGGAGTGGATACTGCAGGGCAGGGCAGGTGCGCAGGTGCGCAGATGTGCTGAGAGGATGTAAGGAGTGACTGGCGCGGCACGTGTAGTAGAATGCAACTGCTGTGGGCGCGATTGTGCGAAGCTGTTTGCCTGTTTGAGTGGTGTCGGTGTCGGCGGGCTGCGCTGAGCTGCGCTGGGAGCCTCGAGCAGGACGTTGGTTGGTTTCACGAATCAATCTCTTCCTTTGATGAGTGCTTTCACACAGACAGGCCGCCGGAAGGAAATGGAGGCTAGGAGCTTCGCAGCCGAGATGATGGCGCGAAAGTCGCAGTTGTCGACCGCCTGAGCCTGATGGAGCGGCGGCGGCGGTGGTTACCGATGTGGTGGCTCGAATAGCAGCATAGAATTTCCTTAAGAACGGTTATATGTTACTGGCGTACTGCAGGAGACGTGTATGCTACCGTGCTACGTGTTGCCTTCATGCTCTCTTCGCCGGCCGCATTCGTATTCGTGCTAGGTTTGCAAGGTGCTGGCCGCCAACAACTGACCGCCCAGAGAGCATTCTTTATTTTCGGCAAAGCAAGCGAGCGAGCGAGGGGAGCCTCTCCACTGCCCTACTGTCGACCTTCACCGCAACACTATATAATTATAAGTCAGTCCTCCCTCGCGTGCTTCGTACCATGTCTGCGGGTGCAGCTGAGACATTTAAGATGGCTCAATAGCATGGCATGGCATGGTATCAAATCGCTGGTGCGGTCTTGTGGATTAGATTAGGTATTGCCCAGTGCCAGTGTGCCACCCAACTCAACTTGGAAGTCCTGCGCCGGGGCCTTCAATCAATGCTAAATAAATCCCCAATCAATTGTTACTAGGCCGGCGCAGGACTAATTGCTCACGTGAATCCCATACTTTTTTCTCGCGTAGGCATGGCAAGCGCCAAGACGCACTTCCAGCTTGAATCTGTCGTTCATCGCCCTCATCCGCGCTCAGAAACGCGACCGCGACGGCCACCATCCCAGCACCCCCCTCACCACCCCTCGCGCTCGCTCGCCACAAACGCATCCATACCGCCGCCGTCTTGCTGATCGCAGATTCGTGATCAGCATTCGAGGAGGCAGCCAATATGCCTCCTCCACCACATACTCGCCCCGAGAATGTTCTCAAGCGGGCCCAAGAATTAATCGGAGTCGACCAGCAGCAGGCCGCGCTATCTATCCTTCACGAACATGTTACCTCCAAGAGGACGCGCAACAGCACCATCGTGGCCCTTGAGCCCGTGATGCTGCTGTTTGTTGAGCTTTGTGTGGACCTACGAAAGGGGAAGTCAGCCAAGGATGGGCTCTACAACTACAAGAACACCAGCCAGAACACAAATGTTGCCACCATCGAGCTGGTGTTCCGTCGCTTCATCGAGCTGGCAGAGCAGAAGGTCACGGAGGCGCAGCAGAAGGCAGACGAGATCTCGGCTCACGGTGCACCATCAGAGGATGCATCCCTTGCCAACGTCACTGATCTGGAGGCGATGGAGACACCCGAATCCATCTTGCTCTCGACCGTGTCAGGCGAGCAGTCAAAGGACAGGACAGACCGCGCGATTGTCACGCCGTGGCTCAAGTTCTTGTGGGAGACCTACAGGACTGTTCTCGATATCTTCAAGAACAATGCCAGGCTCGAGGTCATGTACCAAACCACCGCGCACCAGGCTTTCCAGTTCTGTCAGAAATACACCCGCAAGACTGAGTTCCGCCGTCTTTGCGAGCTGCTTCGCAACCATTTGCAGAATGCTGCCAAGTACTCCCAGCAAGTACACGCTATCAACCTTAGCGACCCTGAGACCCTGCAGCGCCACCTCGACACTCGATTCATGCAGCTGAATGTTGCAGTCGAGCTTGAGTTGTGGCAAGAAGCCTTCAAGAGTGTTGAGGACATCCACACTCTGCTCAGCTTGTCCCGCCGACAACCAAAGAACTCCATGATGGCCAACTACTACGAGAAGCTCACTCGCATCTTCCTGGTCAGCGAGAACTACCTGTTCCACGCTGCAGCGTGGAGCCGATACTACAACTTACTCACTCTTTCCGCGCGCCAAGTTGCAGCAGGCGCGGCGAAGAAGGACAACCCAGCCAATATTGGCGATGCTGACCTCTCCAAGGCAGCTTCTTTCGTGCTCCTCTCAGCCCTCTCTATTCCCGTCATTAGCACTTCACGTTCTCGAGGTGCCCTGATCGATGTTGATGCAGCACGCAGCACTAAGAATGCTCGTCTGACCAACCTTCTTGGCATGAACAGTGCGCCTTCTCGTGCCATCCTCTTCAAGGATGCGTTAAACAAGGACATCCTCCAGCGTGCCCGCCCAGAGATCCGCGACCTCTACAACATCCTCGAGACTGACTTCCACCCCAAGTCGATTTGCGAGAAAGTTTCGCCAATTCTGTCTCAGATCGGCGCCGATGAGGATATGCAGAAGTACGTGCTGCCACTTCAGCAAGTCATCCTGACTCGTCTCTTCCAGCAGCTTTCCCAAGTTTACACCGACGTCAAGCTCCAGGATGTTCTCGCTCTTGCGCAGTTCCCAGATCCATTCCAGGTGTCAGCAGCTACCATTGAGAAATTCATCATGAACGGTTGCAAGAAAGGCGACCTCTCGATTCGCATCGATCACTCTACTGGCATCCTCACCTTCGACTCGGATGTTTTCTCCTCCGCTAAGGCCCTCCACCCTGGATCAGGTGCTGGCTCCGCCGAAGCCGACGCCAGCTCCGTGCAACGTCTGCAGAGCACTCCTGCGGAGATCGTTCGCTCTCAGCTCTCCAGACTGTCAAAGGCTCTCTACATCGCTGTGCAATATGTTGACCCGAGCTTTAACGAGGATCGCCAGAAGGCCAGAATTGCAGCGCTCAAGCGTGCCGAAGCAGGTGCCGAAAAGGAACATGCGGAGCTTATTGCCCGTCGTGAGATTATCCAAAAGAAGAAGGAGACCGCCGCTAATGTCCAGCTCGCACGGCAACGCGAGGAAGAGCAGCGACGCAAGGCTCGCCAGCAGGAATTGCAAGCTGCTGAGACGGAACGACTTGCTCAGGAGACACGAGACCGAGAAGAGCGTCGTATTCAGGCTGAGCGGAAGCGTGTGCAGCGTGAGGAGGCTGAGAAGCAGTTGAACGAGCTCAAGAAGGGAGTCAAGGGCGTAGACATCTCTGGTCTCGATATCGACGACCTAGACACTGGCCGAATCCGTTTGCTCAAGCTTCAAGCTCTTGAGAAGGAGAAGAATGAAATCAGTGACAAGGTCCGTATCTCCGGCAAGCGAATTGACCATCTTGAGCGGGCGTACAGAAAGGAAGAGATCAAGCATGTGCCAGGCGACTACGAAGCACAGCGCAAGCGTGATTTGGAGGCCTACGAGCGGGAGAAGGAGGAGACTTTGGCAGCGGCCAAGCAGAAGCACAAGGAAGAAGTTGCTCTTAAGCATCGTCTCAGTCGGCTTGTAGGACACTACGAGCAATTCAAGCGCTCCATCACAGAGCAACGGCACGCCGACTTTGAGAGACGCCGCAAGCAAGCCGAACGTGAGCTCAATGCGGCTATGGAGAAGAGACGTCGTGAGGTCCGCGAGCGTAAGGTGGCGGAGAAGCGACGCGCAGAGGAGGAGGAACGCATGCGTCGAGAAGAAGAGGAGCGCGCGCGATTGGAGGAGGAAGAGGCAGCGCGTGCTGCCGAGGAGAAGCGGATGAAGGATGCTGAGGCTAAGGCAGAGGCCGAGAAGCGTAGGGCAGAGCGTGCGGAGGCAGCGCGGAAACAGATGGAGCGCGAGGAAGAGGCTGAGCGCAGACGTCTGGAGCGCAAGCAAGGAGGTGCTGGTGCTGCTCCGGCCCCCTCGCGAACATTTGAGCGCCGTCCTGAGGCTCCGAGCGAAGGCGCCGGCGCAGCGTCCGCTGGAGGACCACCGAGACTCAACCTCGCTGGCAACAAGCCCAGCTGGCGTGAGCGTGAGGCGGCCAGACAAGCTGCTCAACAAGCTGGAGGCTCATCGGAGAGTGCTGCACCTCCTATCGCTGCCGCTGCCGCTGCCGCCGCCGCTGCCGCACCTCCTGCAGAGGTCTCAGAAGAGCCAGCTCAGGCCAAGCGATCGGGATACGTTCCGCCGGCGCTGCGTGGCAAGGCACCTGGTGCTGACTCTGCACCACCAGCGCCAGGGTCAGAGAGGACTGAGCGATGGCAGGCACGTTCGCGACCACAAGGTGAAGGCGAGCGCAGCGACACTCCACCGAGCCGTGGCGGCGGCGCATATCGACCACCGGGATCAAGGAGCGGCGCGGCTGGAGGTGCTAGCAGCGGTGGAGCATACAGACCACCTGGCGCACGATAAATGCTGTCTACGAAGACACGGCTGCATGGGCGGGCAATGGAAGGGAAAGGGAAAGGGTGCATGGGATGAGATTGTTTTGTGCACTGGTCGGAAGTGTCTGCTAGGAGGTATATGGCTCTCAGTGGTATAAGTAGCGACTCGTCACACAGGCGTTGAGAGGGACGCGTGTCATGTGGCTGGTGTCTGTCTGTCCTTGCGAAGTTACGATGCACGTACGCTACGTAACGATCAGGTGCTTGGCTTGTTCTGCGGTTGAATGGGTCATGGGTCATTTGCCTCCGCGTTCCTTTTATCGTCATGTCATGTGGTCGGCGGCGGCTGGAAATGAAGTCGGATAGTATGGGGTGAGCAAGGATGTGAGAGTGGCCCTCCCTCGAGCGAGTCTGTTGTTGTTGATCCTTCCGTAGCCGGGCACGCGATATGATAGATAGGGAGAAGAGGTGTCGGTATGTGCTCTCCTCTCTGCTGACTCCCTCTGCAACAACAAGACCAAGACGAGCCTGGAAGTCGTCAACAACGGACAAAGCCGAAGCCGACACGGACCCCACCAACCCCACCAACCCCACCATCGTCATCGTGTCCGACGCTGATGCGGGACCTGCGTTCACAGCTCTTGCCTCGCCGCGCCTCGCCTGCTTGTGGCACTGCACACACGTTCTCTCTTTCTGACGCCCGATCGCTGGTTTGCTGGCAGAGGAGAGATCGATGCTCACACTCGCACTGCTGACCTCCTGAGTGGCCATTCCCCATTCCCCATTTGCACGTCGCTGCCGCTACCGCTGCCAAACAAAGCCGCACGTGTGGGCAGGCACGGGCACAGGCACAGGCCAGCTGCTCGCAACCCTACTACTCTACCTACCCTGCCCGACCCTCCCCTACGCTTCACCTTGACTCTCACATTCTCGGATAGCGACACCAACGCCGACACTCTTTCACCACCGCCGCCGCCGCCGCCGCCGCCACCTCCACCGCGAGTTGGCACACTACGAGCCGCACGCCTACACATCTCACGCTTCCTACACATCTCGGCTGGATGCCCTCCGCCGACGACGATTTCGTGCCCGACTTCGACCACTTCAACGAGCCGCGAGCTGCGCCCGCGCACGACCATCTTCTCGGCAAATCGCCGCCCACCACTACCAAGACCAAGAAGAAGAACAAGAACAAGAAAAATGCCGCCAAGCAGAGGCCGGCCGAAGACGCAGACTATTCCTCCTCCTACCCCAAGTCGATAACACCATCTCCGCCCACAGACGCTGTCAAGCCGCTCCAAGTTGCCTCTCCCTTACTGCACCCCGAGCCGGAGCCAGAGCTAGCACCCGAATCAGAGCTGGTCCTGGAAAGCTCTCCGCTCGTGCACTTGGACGATGAGCCTGCAGCCGTGGAGCATGTCGAGCCGCCAGTGCCTGTCTCCAGGCCAGAGTCGAAGTTGTCTCCACCTGCTTCACCCGCCGTGAGATCGCCCAGACCAGCTCCGGCTAAGCTCGCTGCACCTCCGTCGCCCGCCACACGCCCATCAAGTCTATACGGAGCTGTACGCGATCGAAGAAATAGCACTAACAGCCAACGGCCTGTGCCACCAGCATCGCTTCAGTCCCAACCGCGTCGTGAATCGCTTGTGTCCCATCGTCCGGCTACTCGTCTGCTCGACCCACCACCGCCTCATATGCGCCAAGCTCACTTCTTTGCACTGCCCGATCTTGGTCTGTTTGGTCAGAAGCAGGAGCCTGGGAGGCCTGCTGGGTCAGATGGCTACTGCTGTCGCTTAGATTCCTTTGCACATGCTGGCAGCGATGTCTGTGCGAAAAGTGCAAGAGATGCTTTGCTTGTGGGTAGTGAGGGTGGACTGGAGGTGCTTAGAATCTTGCCAAATAAGCTTGAGGTGGTCGGTCGTCTGGAAGGTCTACGAGGTGCAGTAATTGACGCCAAGATCCTACCACATCTCAAGAAGTACGACTACATCCAAGAGCTTCGGCCGCTTGTCGCCGTTACTATACATGGACCGATGCTGGACGATAGACGAGATTCCGGCCCGGAAGGCGATGGCAATGATCCCACCGATAATGATCCTCCCAGCCACTTCCAGACCACCGTTGATGTGTACTCCCTGCAAACACAGCACTTCATTTGCACGCTTTACAGCAGTTCGCCGGTTGCATTGGATATGCCGACTCTTGGCCAAGTCGCGTCTTTACCGGATCCCATCGGCGACCTCCAGTTAGATGCAAAAGGCTGCTTTATCACTATAGCTTCTGGCAAGAGTGGCGAAATATTTGTCTTCACGGACACCCCAAACGGCGATCTCCAAGAGCCAGAGTTCAGGTGCATTGGAAAGTTTTGGACCACTGTACAGAAGCCACTATCATCAAGGCCTCAAAGCCAAAGTGATGCAGCAGGGAACGCTTCAGAAGTCAAGGAAGAGCCTCGCCACCCACTTTGCAGCCTCAGTTCGCGATGGCTAGCTGTGGTGCCTCCTGTCTCGTCCTCGAGCATTTCAATTCAAGGTGCTCCATTGATCCGCGACTATAATTCCAATCCTCCTGGCGTTATCACTCATGCCGCGCCACCACAGCCTGCTGTTTCTTGTGAAGTAGTTGGAACTGATGTTGAAGGTGCATGGTCCAGACTTGGTCGCCAAGCTGCTCAAGGCTTGGTGAAGTATTCACAGAAAAGCATCGAAATCGGTTGGAATGGTTGGAAGGAGCTCACGCATCCTTCGCCGCCGGGTGCTCGTCAAGGCCACGAACGAGGATCGAGCAAAGAAGACCTCTTCCCACCCACCAAAGGACCGGACGAAGACTTCGGACGACTTGCGAAGGAGCCAGCTCTTGTTGCATTGATCGACCTGGACACGCTCCTCTACTTTGAGAAGTGGAAGCCCAAGTATCTGGCTGCACCATTGTCTGCATTCGCGCTAGTGGAAGGATGCAACTTTCTTTCCCTCTCCTCTGCTGGGACCAAGCTACTCACATCCAGTCGCAAGGGTGAAGTCTCAACGGTATGGGATCTGTCGCAAGTCGCCCATGGCGTTGCAAGACGTGCAGCATCGACCGACGAGAGCATTAGCACCAGTCAGTGCGTTAAGCAGATCCAGCGCATTCCACGCAACAGCCCTTCCACAGTGTTGGACTGTGCGTGGTCAAGAGATGACGATGCTGTCGCCATTCTTACAGCCCACGGCACCGTTCATCTCCATGAGGTAGCATCACGGCCCCCGTCCAAGAAACGAAAGCGTGCGAGCTCGATCTTACCACCAGCACCTGAGAAGGCCGATGCCACTATTAGTCTGTCCACCGGCGTGTCGCCTCCTAGTAGCAGCACGGCAGGCTTTCTCGGAAGCATAAAGTCAGGATGGCAGACTGTCAGCACGCAAGTGAACACAATGCGCGCCACCAATCCGGCATCTGCATTTGGACTACCGACTACTTTTGCTGGATTTCGTGAGGCGACCGCAGCGGCTGGTAATGCTGGGTCACGAGCTGTGGCTAGAGGGTTGAGTCAAGGCTACACAGCAGCTAAGGGCGGCGCCGCAGACTATTGGCATGCAGATGACAACAAGATTCGACATACTAAAGCCCTACAGACACCGTTTGCGGCCAAGTCACTTGCGTGGATACGAAGAAACAACACCACGTCTGTGACAATTGCATGCGGTGGAACCATTCATATTCATCCTGTGCAACGTGTCGAGCGACGTAAAGGCGATGCGATTGTCAGTGGGCTGAAGCATGAGAAGTATGCTCATAAAGCTTTTCCATTGCCATCAATCACAACACGTGCGGAAGTCGGGGTAAACATCGATGCTTGTGTTTTTCAAGGACCTCATGGGTTCTGGACTCTGCGAAACTCGACGCCACCACCAGCAGGTGCTTTGAAAAGCAACATTGCAACTGCAAGGACACTGCAAGACCAGACGAATGACCTCGAGACAAACCCGCCATACTGTCCGTTTCATGTGGATAGCCGAGTCACAATCCTCGCATTCGATGAGATGGACCAGAGTCAGTACGGTCCGTCACTTGCCTACGAGGGCTTCATCATCAAAGGCCACAACCACTCTGACGAACGGCCCTGGACATTTGGCGAACAAATGCCTCCTAGCTCAATGATCAACGAGCGCACTGCCGATGATTTGCACGAAGGCAGCGATCCAGACCAGAACCCGCCTGCTGACGAGGATGACGATGATGATGTGGCAGATCAGATGGAGAGCAAATTGACAATTCAACCAGCTCGCAAAGGCAGCAACCGTCAGGGCGATGACCATATACGAATCAACACGAGACGCAGACCAGGCAAGAGCAACAAGGGCAGCACAAGGGCTGGAGGGGATGGGGGGTTTGATCTCATGGAGGGCGACCATGATGAGTTTACATGATGGACCATACGAGGAATGATTATATCTCTCCGCTTGGAACTGGCAGCTTGCTTGGCGCGCTGGACTAGCCGAAACGAATGGAGTTGGTCGGCGCGGTAATGAAGGAACGGATGGATTTTGATACCCACGACCGAATTTGAGGACTTTAGAAGAGTTCTCCTTCTTGGATTTGTCGATTTCTGAGAGAATGAACCCGATTTTCTTCGTTATGTGATGTGCGGTGCTTCCAACGTCTACGTCATCCCCTGTCTTGGCACTATTGCTTAGGGTAAACTTCGAGGGTTGGCGACGACGATGAGTACCGATTTCCAGATTCGGACTTGAAATCCATCTTGGTGCTTCTTGGTGACGAGTGTGGATTGATTTGATTGTTTCGGTGTGGTTTTGAGGAGGGGCGATGAGTTTTTACGACTTTTCAACCCGTCTGAAAGCAGGCAATATCGAACTAAATTTTCCCGCGCCTGCATACGTGAGATCGGTGGAACAACGACGTAGAGGCCTACACAGGAGTAGCGAAAGGGCAAGAAATACTGGGAAGCGAAACATGTGTGTTGAAATTGGTGGCCTCTTTATTCTATACTGCTATACAGGAGTTCTTTCCTTGCTTTTCCGGGACGAGAGTATGCTACATACAGACGTGCGAACCCACTATCAGGGTCGTTCCTATCTCTAATGCTGAGAATGCAGGAAGGAGCAAGCAAGCGCCATCTATCTTACTCGACCAACAAGCTTTGTAATCTCGCTTCGGCAGAAATGACCTATTCAAAATAGTTAGCATCGCAATCATGATACTCAACTGAAAGACACTCACATCAACAGCTTGTCTGACTTCCAAAACCCTTCGACATTCCGCCACCCAGTCTCTAGAAAGAACACCTGCCCAACCTCTCAGGCCATTCATTTCACGAGCCGCGGCATCTAAATCACCTTCTTCGAGTAGGGCTTCTGTCCTCGCCAGAGTGGCTTCTACATCATCTCCCTCAGGCAGTCCCCGATCGCTCTTCTTTTGGAACATCAATCTGCTGAGGACAGCGCTCGCTGCATGAGAGGCGACGCCAGCGTCCTCTGGTAGCAGAGAGGCTTTTCGCACTTCGGATGCTACGCGTCGGAAGCGGTCGATTAAGGCTGCCGCGGATGGCACACCGCGTTGGTATGCGGCGGGATTTATGGAGGCGATGGCTGCATTTACAACGTCGTTGTCCTTGCTGACTTCCTTGAGGGCCACGAGCTCGCTGATGAACGGCGTCGGCACGTCGGACTCCTGCAACTTCGCTCTCACTGCCTCGAGTGCGACTTGAAGATGCTGTGTTTGTAAAGTGGCATCCACAACCTCGTTCCACTGTGTAGTGAGCTTCTCGAGCTCGTTGACAGATGTGGACAGCTCGTCAAGCTTGCTGAGACGGCCATTGCGCTCTTCTTCAATCTTGCCCTTGACATCGTCCATGAACCTCTTCTGGAGAGCAATCTCTTGCTCGATCAAAGAGTTCCTGTTCTTCTGCTCAAAGACCTTCCTAGCAGCATCCAGCTCGGCGGAAAGTTTCTGCTGGTAGCTGTTGCTAAGCTTCTCACGTTCCTGCTCGTATTCTTCCCGCCATCGTGTTTCCTGTTCTCGCATCTCGTCCTCAAGACGGCGCACAAGTTCCTTTGCAGCTTGGTCGAACTCGAGATGTGCATTCTTCACCTGGGTGTTGGCGTCGTGTGCAGCTTTGTCACGGACAATTTTGATCTCTGCAATGACCTTGTTCAAGTTATTCTTGGCCTCAGCCACTGTACTTTCGTACTTGGCCGATTCGGGAGATGCATTGATGGATGTTATTATGCCGTTCACAAGCTTGATCAGCTCTTGCACAGCAGGCTCTTGCGCTTCTGGAGCATTGATGTGGTCCACGGTGGAGATGTCCTTCCTGGGCGTAGCTGGCTTCGAATCCGATGCTGAGCTAGCCTTCTCGTCCTTCTTGGGCAGAAGCTTGTGAGAGACGTCCGGAGCTTCCGGCTTTGTGGGTTCCTGCTTTTGCTCGGCAGGTTTGGGGTTGGGCTTGTTGTCGTCGGTAGCAGTCGAATGCCTTCCCTTCTGACCTAGATCCTCCCCATTGTTGTCCTTTGTAGCAACACGCGGGACCACGCCAGAGTGACTCGCGACGGTGACCTTATTCTCGCCGCGTGTCTGCGGCCAGTTCCTGCCACTATCTGTGCTGCGACCTGGGAATCTCTTCCGGAATTCGCGCTCCTCAAAGTAGGAGACAGCATCCTCAGCAAAAGGCACGTATTCAGTGAAGAAGTCGTGGAAGTTGTCGTTAACCAGGGAGTAGTAGACACCGCCTGCATATCCCAGCGCCGAGAGAATGACCAGACTCAGCAAGAAGCGCGTGAAGCGAGCCTTCTTCTTGGGCGGAGGTGGAGGAGGGCTCACAGGAGGCGGATTGGCAGTGTTGGTGGGTGGAGCAGGAGGCGTCGCGTTGACTTGGGCGGGGGTCGGCGGAGTCTTGGGAGGAGTATGGATGGGGGACGGAATGGGATTGCTTGTGGGCGTGGCCAGAACGGGTGCTTGAGGGACGCCGGCCGTCGTTTCGCTTTGGCTGCCAGGAAGCACTGTTTTGTCAGGTGATCGTGCATCTACGTATGTCCTCTGCAAGCAGCGTCAGTCAGTGTCTGCTCATGCGTGCCATTGAAGCTCTTTCGCGCCCTCCAGCGCATCTCAACGCACAGAAACAGGCGCTTGGTATGATAGCCGTAGCCGGCTGCCATTCTGCCATTGGCGCACGACAGTGGAGCGAGCGCCTTGCTCCAGGCATTTTCCGCCTCGAGCAACGGCGGTGCGCAGCATTGTGGCTGCTGGATGCAGTGCTGAAGAGCCGTGGGTGTTCTCAATTGTGCTTCAAAGATTCCGAGCCTGGCCCTGGCGCTGGCGCTGGCATAGTTCGGGGTGGCCTGAGCTCAATTTAAGGTTGCAAAAATCGGCGTCATGCCAGCCTCAGCCTCAGCCTCAGCCTCAGCCTCAAGCAACACCTACACCTACACCTACACCTACATATGATCATACTGTACCATATATGGACTTTATAAAATCAATCGGAAGAGTCCCCCACAAGATCAATCACCTCCGCCTTCCGCTTCACACCTGCCTGTACACGCGGGCTCGCCGTCTCTGCCAACGCGCCGCTACTTCCCGCCGCTACCTTCATCACCTCTGGCACATTGCTCTCATCACTGATCAGCATCCTCATCTCTACAATCCTCTCATACCGCCTGCCAAGCATGTCCTTTAATGTCGCCGCATCGAATTGTTTCAACACTTCCCCGGCTTCCTGGCATCTCGCAAACCACGCATCGAATGCTTGCTTGCCCTTGCTCCTCTTTCTAACCACGAGTGTATCGCTCCTACGATCAGTTTCGTGTGTTCCGTCGAAGCCGCTTCGATCCAAGACATCATGAAGGTGATGTCTGCGATCTGAACTCACGCGAAGTCGACACTCTTGCTGCGTGGTGCTGATCAAACACAGATTCAGCTTCCAGCAGTCCTGGCACGAGCAGTTTACACGGCTTCTCGCCAAGTTCTCGTATGCCGGAGGCTGGTCCTTGACGAAGCGCTCCACGTATGCCTCAAGCGTGTTTCTGTATAGACTGCGAAACATGGGACCATAGTCAGTCTTGGAATGCGCGTTTGCGAGCAACTGCGACGCCTCCAGAAACGGCACCAGGATTTTGCGTAGCACATCTGTCTTGCATGCTCGCACTTGTAGCTCCAGTGCCGCAAAGAGAGATTCCGCCTCAACTTTGACGTCTTTCGTGACCAAGAAGTCTAGGACTTCATTGAGCTCATCTCCCGTCTTGCTCTGAGTGGACACAGTGGCACTGCCAGCTTCAGGGACCGTCTTGTGTCGTTTGGAAGGCCGCTCCTCAGATACTTCCAAAAAGAAGCCTTCAATCATCGGTCCGATGCATCTTCTTACACCTGCTAAGACGTCGTTGACTTCAAATGCATCCTCTCCGTCCATGATCAGCGCTGCAAGGAACGCGAGCACGAAATGTGTGCGGTTGCTGTGCAACGAGACGACCTCATTGATGCTACGCCTGGTCAGCCTTGCGACACCCGAGACTAAGACTACTCACCAATTTTCCAGAAACCCTCTTCGTTTCAAAGATACCGCAATGTGTATCAATGCTCTGCCGTCCTGCTCGGATGGATTAGACACGTTGGACACGGCTTTGGTGAGGATGCCGGATGCCCATTCAGCAGCAGGCCCGGCACGATTGTTGATGTCACCGCCGAAGAGTGCCTTTAATGCCTCGAAGGTAGAATTGACGCCACGTATCTTTGCGAACGCTTCTGTCAATCTGTACATTTTCAGTCCGGCATGATGAATATTGACTGTCTGGGGACTTACGCATTCTGCACTTTGTCGAACTTCGTGTTTATCATTGGACTAAGCCTCTTGAGAGCTTCATTGTTAATCGGACCAGAGGTGCTAGCGACCGCGTCCGCGAGAGCGTGATATTCCTTGAGCTGGCCCAGAAGACCAAACACGTGCGACAAAATTCGCGGTGAAAACGCAGGTTGGAGAGGTCGACCGGCAAAATCCGTGCGTCCAAGAATGCTCTGGTTCTCTTTCACGACAAACTTGCACAGTTGAACGAGGTCGGATCGTGCTCTGAGGTTAACGTCTTGTGTGCTCGTACGCGTTTGTTTGAGTCTCTGGATGAGCCAGCTCAGCACTGGTGTAATGTCCTTCTTGTGAAACGCGTTGTTTTTCTTGTGCGAGAATGCTCCCGTTAGCCACTCAATAAAATTATCTCTAGGCACCAGGACAACAACCTAGCCGTGTTAGCATCGCTACGCACTACCTAAAGAGACAGACTCACTGTATCGCGATACCAATGTGTCGATTGTGCTCCTTCATTGCCAGTAAATCCGGTGTAATCCTCGTCATCAGGATCGCGCGAGTATGCCTGAAAGGCTTCCTCGAACAACAAGCAATCTTCCTCGATAGTCATGTCAGTGATCAACTGTGTACCATCGGGAGCGATAACTCGCTTCAGCTTCGTCTCCGTCTCGTGAATATCTTCGATGGCATGGAATTCGCCATCAGATCCATCATCGTCTTCATCTTCGTCATCGTCATCGTCATCGTACCAATCGTTGTATCTGCCACGCCGCGAGCCATACCTATCGTACGGATCATACTCGTAGGCCGCTTCACCATGCTTCATGTGTTCCATAGATGCCAGAAAGATCTCGTACTTGTACCTCTCGGCAAAATATGAGAGAGCCTGAACTCGGGCTACATCCGCACCTTTCAGGCTATTGATGTTGAGATGGGCATCCGTGTACTTGTGATCCAGAATGTATACCGCCGGGGATGAGTCAACCCATCGCCAGTTCTTCAGGGCACTCTTCAATTCTGGATACTGCTCGCCGATTTGGGAGGCGGAAAAATTAGACGCCATTGCGGATGTCTTGTAGATGTTGTAGGTCAGCACGAGTCTGTAGCCCGATGCTACTTCTTTGACTTCGTGAGTGACATCTGAGTACCAGCAAGCGTAAGAAGGCTGGGTCGCGGATGTTGCAAAGCGCTTCATGGCACCTTTGTGCGAGAGGACGATGTCGCCGCCCTCATGAGCTGATGGAAGGCAGATTACAAGGGTTGCAAACATGCCAGGAACCTTCTCCGTGTCCGTATGAGGCTTGAACATGGCTCCTGGCTCATAGAGGAGCATCTTGTAGGGAGAAATCCCAACTTGTGCAAGATTGGTAACGCCTAGCTCAGAGACAGCGTTTGTCACGGCATGATTGACAGTGCCATTGAAATAGGGATTGTTGACCATGAACTCGTTAGTGTTCAGCTCCCAAGTCTTGCGTACATTGTCATCCACAATCGTCTCGGAGCCTTTGCCGAAAGGTGCCTTGTGGCTAGCCGCAATGAGTCGTTGAGCATCCTGCTCTTGAAGTGGCAGAGTAATTGGAGGTCCGCCTTGTGCAACAGTAATGACGGGATCCCAGAATTGTTCAATGGGTCCAAATGAAGCAAAGGTCCCGAAATTCTGTACTGCGTCCAAAGCCTGCTGCAAGCTCGCTCTGACATCGGACTCGGATAGACCGTAGTCAACGTCCGATTCCTGGTTGGCCTCCTCTTGCGGCACAAAATGCTGAGCTGGGTCTGTAACCACTGCGGCTTGATTGATCTGTTTCTGCGCAGGTCGAGCAACTTGTACTCCATTTTGCCAAACACCAGATGTGGTGACTCCATATCTGGTGTCGGTATGCGTGTCTGCAGCTCGACTGGGCTGCTGTTGTTCAATGCCAGCTGGCCGCGGCCACTGCACATTGGCAGACGCGCTTATTGTTTGAGGCGGGATTTCGCCTGCCAGCGTGTTTCTGCTCTCACCATTGCCAGCCTTGATACCTTTCGTTTCGCAGCCTGGACTTCCATGCCCGACTTCACCGCTGTCCTCATTGCTACTACGCTCGTCATCTTCAGCTGCACTCTCCTCGGCTTCGTCTTCGTCTTCGTCTTCGTCTGAATTCTCATCCTCATCCTCTTCATCATCATCCTGATTCTCGTCCGCCTCGTCTTGTTCTCCATTCATAGCCCTCGCCCAAGCCCATCGATCACCAGCGAAAAGATCCGACTGCGAGATATCGCTCATGCTGCTGGATGATCTGCGACTCGCGACGCACGCACGACCAAAACGGAAGGTGGCTTGCTTGAAATGTCAATGGCACGAAGGACTCGACTCACCTTTGTGATCAATCTCATTTACACTTTACCGGGTGGAGGACGCGTTTGACTAGCGCGTTCAAACGCGTGATCACGCATGGTCTGCATGGCATGGCATTACCAAGAGAGCGAGAGCGAGAAAGCCCCAGCGATACAGTAGGCTTTCATCCTTCGTGGGTATCTACAACTAACCCTTGCAACAACAAGGCACCCTGCAATATAATGATTAAATAAAGGTATACAAGCGAGGCAATCTAATCCAATTGAGCGTCTATTTAATAACTATATGCCCTACTATTATATTACGTAAAGATGCTAAAATCTCTATAGTAAGGACTAGACAAGCCGTTTAGCTTAACAAACCGAGACAACAACCCTTAATATTTAGTATCTAGTGTGCTATCTATTGCGCTATACAACCCTTACTATTCGACGATAGAACGAGCCCGTAATCGCCTTAATTTCCGCCTTAGTTATAGTATCCTAATAGTCCTATATTATCTCTCGATGCCTCTCGTCGCTTAAGAGGTATCTATACCGGGTATTAAGCCGATACTTTATAAGAGCTTAGACATTCTCGATTAGATTAAGATTAGGCGAGTTTAGCGGCTATATATCTAAACAATAGTCGATATTGCTAGTAGTAAGAGCGTTGCGAGTGCGCTATACTTTATAGATTAAGGCACTATTAAGGATAAGTAGTAGACGCTAGGTTAGTTGCTAGATAATAGCGAGTAGATAAATAGGTAGGTTAAAGTCGTCGCTTTCTAAGAGGTCTTCTTCTACCCTCTCTATAGCGATCTTTATAGCGACTTCTTCGTAAAAGCGGACAATCTCTAGCATTATATACTTAGTAAAGGTGCGAGAACTAATCTTACCCTAAGTACGATTAAAGAAGATTATCCGGCTCTTCTACTTGCTAGTAATAAGTCCGAAGCAATACTATATCTTAATCCGCCGGAAGCGAGGTCTAAGGCAGTCTAGATCGTATACCTTACTAACAAGACGCGTAATAAACGTACGAGTTGATCTACCCCTTCCGAAGGCAATACTATTAAAGAAGACTATTATTCTGCTAGCATCTAGCTATGCTAGCGACTATATACTAAACTAAGGCCTTAGATTAAGCATATCTACGTCTAGTAATAGCACCTTTCTTGCAACGCGTCTATAGTATCTAAGCTCGTTTAAACGGCGCCTAACCGTAGAAACTAAACACCTAAGACCTAGTTCCTCCCTAATCTTAGTATAGCTAGCTCTACAGCCTTCTACTAAGCCTATAACGAAGTCGACAATGCGATTAGTAATAGGTATACTAAACTAACGCAGGCCCTATATAAAGCGTTAAAGGGTTAGTGTTTCCGGCTCGTTTATAACGCGCTAAACCGTCAAATACAGCTTATTAAGGAAGGCTAATATTCTCGATAGATGCTAACCGAGGAAACGACGAAGGAACTTAATAGCGTAGCGTATAAAGGTAGGTATAATATAATAGTATTAATAGCCGTATTCGAGAGCCTCGCGAGTGTTCTATAGCAGTCGTTTATCTAGTAGTATCGAGGGCTCTTTAGTTAATAGTTGCTAAACCTATAGTAGGCGTCTTCTACCGACGATTTAAGTAGATTAAGAAGATTAAGCTAGAGTCTAGTAAGGAGGCACTTCCTTAATAGGCTCTATTATAGCGTAGTAGTTAATAACTTAATAGTCTATCTATAGTAGCTTCTATACGCCTTTTATAACCTCTACGTACCCTTAGTCGCGTCTATAATTACTATAGTAAGGACGCGGAAGTCGCGTTTCCTCCTCTATTTCGTAGTTCTCGTACCTAGCGGCTAACTAGCTAACTTAATTACCTCTACTAGGTCTCTAACCTCTTCTTTATACTATTCTTCTACCTATTTTATAAGGAACTAAGGTCTCGATAGAGGCCTATATCCCGTGTAGTATAATGCCCTCGGTAGGCAGGGCTCTATAGAAGAGGCACGCAGAAGCGTAGTTTTAAACTAGCTAAGACGCCTGTCTCTCTACGGATTAGGCTATATACGAGCTAGCGGTAATCTACAACCTTGTTAACCGAGACAGACACCTTGTAGACCCACTAGGCTTTCACTAGTATAGTGGCTATTCGGTCCATTCAGTGGCTACATACCCCCTGCAATACCCATCAGATCTGGAAGCCTACTGTAGCAGAGACAGTCCATGGTCGTAGATCCGTGCGAAGATGCAAGGCGGCGTAGGCAGTACGGTTTGAACCTGCCTTGAAGAAGCTGGGAAGCGCTTAGTGATGTTGGAGACGGTGGACACGGACACGCGGCACGTGTGAGACCCGCGTTTCCGAGGCAGACAAAGATTCACTGCAACGATGACACAAAATATCTTCCACATATCGAATTGGTTCCACCCATCCCATCCCGAAGAGCTATCTATCTCGCACAGTAGCCTCAATTCCGACTTTCCAAAATCCATCCCAGCAGCAGCAGCAGCAGCAGCAGCAGCAGCAGCAGCAGACCGTGTCGGCATACATAATCCGCATTTCTGCCTTGCTCGCTCAACAACTCCTCTTGATTTGGCCAAACGCCTTGCGTCTTTGTAAGAGTACCGCCATGCCTCGCTCCTCGTAAGATGCATGATAAACACAAGGAGAAAAGGCCCAGCAGAACAGCCCAGTAATGTCAAGAGAGTACGCTACAAAAGGTCGCAGTGTTGGTTCGCATCGTGGTCTCTCTTCATCGAAGTAAGCAGATAGTCCAGCTTCTGCTGTATCGAACCATTCTTACAGTTTTACAGCCGAAGCTCGTTCAAAATCTTTTGCGCCATGTTCTTGTACTGCCAGGTCCCTCCATCGACTTTCTTGAACTGAATGCCGTGCAAGCTGAGCAGCGGTACTTTGACGATGAAGATCTCGAACCGTAGCGTCATCTGTCCTCCCATGTCAGATTGGACATGTGTGCTCGTTTCGCCAGCTGCCCTCTCGATCTGTCGAGGATTGCTTGTCGGCGGATCTTCTTCAGATTCCTCACCGGAGCCATTGAAGGAAGGCTTGTGCTTTGGCGTCTTTGGATCGTCAGGATTTGTTCGAAACCCGCCGAAGCTAATCTTCCGTCTGTGCTGCAGGTCTGGCGGTGCTAAAGGCTGAGCACCCGAAGGTATTGTCTCCTCAGGACCAGGTTTTGTCATAATGCTTGGCGAATGCTTGCAGCTGAAGCCACCCTTAATCTCCCGATACTCCACGCCAGACTCTTTCAGAACACGAATGATATCGTTTCGAATGACATTGAGTGGTTTACTGCTGGTCGTGCTGACGCTGAAAAGTCCTTTGAGGTAGACAGGCTTCATACCAGAAGGGCTTCCGGAGCCACTGTCTTTCGTCTCTTGCTCGCCAAGCATCTCTTGGTCCGTCTCTTCCGGTACGCCTTCTGTCCGCGCTTGCTCGCGGCGTGCACGTCGAAGTTGCATGCTCTCCTTGCGAGCGTGTCCCATAGATCGTGCTCGATTGGCGAAAGTATTGGCCGGCTTCGATGGTCCTTCCACATCCGACATTGTTTCCTTAATGCTGCTTCCTTGGTCAAATGATACCCGTGGCGCTCGATCAGTACTGCCTGCGGATGTAAGTGGCGGCCGCATTGATGAACCTTCAGAAACGCCTCTCCTTGTCAAGCGTCTCCGTACGTCGCTTGAATTGACACTGATAGAACGTCCAAGTCCATGAGAACGCTTCCTGGGAACATTTGTAGCATCTGTGACTGGCGGTGATAGGAGCTCACTTTGCTGGGTCTGTTTGCTCGCGGCTGTCTCAGGTCTCGTGTCTTTGGTCTCTTCCCTTGTTCGACTTGAGTCTCGGGTTCGCCGCATACTAAAACTCTTCCTCGGACTCTCTGCGTTGTATCTATCAAGCGATGAGGGAGGGTGACTTGGTTTCTCGCTCTTATCCCGCTTGCTGAATCGTCTCAGTAAGCCGCCAGCCACGCTTTCTTTGCGGCCATGCGCAGGTTTCTGTTCAGGTTCGACGATCACCGGGTTGCCGGACTGGGTAGTGTTCGTGACTTTGAGATTCTGCATGTCATTTGTAACTTCATCCTCGCCGTGCGTGCGTGCTCGTGGCCGTGATCGACCGCCTGTGGGTTTCTCGCCTGCCATCTCGTAGGCATTCGTATTGGTATAAGCAGCCTCTGGAGCTGCTAAGCCGGGGATCTCAAGTGGTTTCTCGCCGGGTGATGTCGGCAGCGCAAGCGCACCAGGATTCTTCTCCCTTGCTTCACGCTCCTGTTTCTCCATCGCCAGGTAATAGACCGAGATCAGAGGATGGAAGGCGTTGATCGGGTCGGTGCCCAATTGGATCGCTTCAGTCGAGGGTGTGTTCAGAGTGTCTCTACTAGTAGTGCTACTCCTGCGCTTGTAAAAGCCAAACACGCCTCGTTTCTGATCGGTGTCTTGAGGTGGCATTTGGCTCCGCCTTTCCTGAAGACGAATGGCTCGCTGATAGTCGTCAGACTCGATGACCTTAGTGAGTTGAGTGGAGATATATTCGGCATCGCCAAAGTCGAATCCAGTCATCTTTTCGACCACTGCTTGATCCAGTGGCAGTGTAATTGGCTTTCGCAATGGCAAGTAGTTGTCTGGCGGGCCATTGTAACCTTTTGTCATCCAGGGATGCGTCATGATCTCCTGTAGCGTTGCACGCTCGCTAGGATTAGTAGTCAGCATGCGTGCAATGAGCCCTCGGCATTCTATTGCAAGTCAGTGAAGGTATGTTTCTCTCGTCTCAGGAGACGTCTTACCAGGACTCAGCCACGGAGGATATTCCACCACGCCCTTCTTGATCTTGGCATGCAGTTGTGGCATGCTCTGATCGTCAAAAGGCACCTTGCCGCAAACCAAAACATATAACACAATTCCAAAACTCCAAACATCGACTTCTGGACCCGTGTATTGCTTCGCCTGAAGCAATTCGGGAGCGGCAAAATATAAGCTGCCGCAAAATGTCTTCAGTGTGTTCCGTGGGCTGAAGAGGTTGGAAAGACCGAAATCAATGATCTTAATGTCTCCAGTCTTACTGATAAGGATGTTCTCGATCTTCAGGTCTCGGTGAACGATGCTGTTCCGGTGGCAGTAGTCCAGCGCGCTTGCAATTTGGCGGCCAAACTTTCGAGCTTGTTTCTCCTTCAGCCTTCCATGGCTAATTATATAATCCAGCATCTGGCCTCCATTGACATATTCGAATAGCATATACCAGTGGTAGTTGGTCCGTACGACATCACGCATGCCGCAAATATAAGGATGATCGACCAGGGTAACAATGGCCGCTTCTCTCGCCGTCCGAACCTCCTTGCTGTGATCTGCCCTTTCTCGTTCTTGTTGTGTGCGGTGCTCACTGTCGGTGCTCAGCCTGGGCACGATCTTCACAGCAACCTGCTCGCCAGTCTCCTTGTTCCTGGCGAGTTTCACCTTGCCCATGCTCCCTGCACCCACTGTCTTGCCCAATTCCCAATGGCCAGTCTGCGCATCTATGGTAGTCCGCCTCCTGAGGTTTGTGGTATTTGGCCGACCCTCTCCCGCAGTGCCGCTAGGAGCAGGAGTGGGCTGGTCATTGTAGCGCGACTGAGTGCGCGCATGGTTCTGTGAAGCTCGCATTGAGTCCCCGCGCGGCGGATGCGCGCCGTTGCCATTCACGGGAGGGTCGCGCGAGTCGCTTCTCCGCTGCGAAGTGCTGTTGCTGCTGGGGCGCGCAACATTGGACTGCTCAAAGTCATGGCGGGCGACCTTTTCGAGGTTGCCCGAGGGCTGACGGGTGTGGGACGCGGAAGTCGGTGGCGCCTGCGATGTGGACATTGAACGGCGGGGAGAAGAAGGGGCAGCCGGGCGTTGGGATGTGGACTGGGAGCGGTGCACGCGGTCTCGTTCGGGAGTGTTCGCAGTCGGGGTGGTGTAAGATGCAGGCTGACGCCTGGTGCTCGGCGTGCGCTGAACAGCCGCGCTCATTATGCCGCACGTAGTATGCACGGAAGTTCTGTGCTGCTTCTAAAACCGGTAAATCGAATGTCGAGCGTGCTGAAACGTGCAGGGAGACCGTTGATGTCGTGCGCGCCCATACATGAAGCGTGGAAGCGTGGAGGCTCGCGACTGGCGACTGGGCCGCTGCGAGATGAGTGTCGATGGGCGCAGCGACAACGACAGCTCGACTGCCGGCGAACGAGACACGATTGGCCTGCCTGCCTTGCCTTGCCTTGCCTTGCCTTGCCTTGTCTCGCCTTGCCTTGCCTGACCACACAGTGCTTGGCTGAGCCGCGACCGCGACCGCGACAGGCTCAATCTGCTCAGCGACCAGCGGTGCATCAGCAGCAGCGTGGGCGATGTGGGCGTGCGCGTGTCTCAGGAGAGGAGAGTATCATAACGGTAGTGGACTAGTAGTGTACGCTATACCGTATTGCATTGTAATGCGCTGGTCCCCTTTAACACGAATGCTCCGATATCCGGGGCTGCGCTAGCTACTTCACCCCTCGCCCCGGGCTCGGGGATTCCGGCTATACGTAAAATCGCTTTTTCTTAGTAGGCTATACGTAAAACTCGATACTATAGTATATTATAGAGTATATAGAGTATATAGACTAGGAAATTAAGTAGGGGTAGGGTTAGGACTAAAAAGCTATAGATTTCCGTTATATTAGCGACTAAATTACGATCGTAGATAGTTAAGATAGACCTATAATCGGCCTTATAAGCCGATTAGGCTATTCCTTCTAACGTTTCTTTACTCGCTTAATAGTACTCGTAGACTAGTATTTACGCTTATATTCCTTACCTTTATAAATAGCCGCGTTAACTAATATATTATATATCTCTTCTACTACTTTTATAAATAACGAGGAAAATAGAATAGGTTAAATAGGTTAAATAGATTAAATAGGTTAAATAGGTTAAATAATAGTAATATACCCTATAGGGCTAGTTTTAGATAAGAGTGTCGGAAGTCCTTACGAGCTTATATAGCAATATAAGACGCCTTAATCGTACGAGGGCTAGTAGTAGTATCTAGGAGCTATTATAGTAATTTAGGGGTCGCTATTCGCTAAGATAGTAACGATAGTATACCCTAAGTAATTAGGTTCTTAAGTTTCTCGAGATAGTAGCAACTATTAGTATAAGACTAGCGTTCTAGATTAATAATAGTAGGCTCTATAGAACGTTATTACTTAACCGACGCGATATACTCCTACTAAGCGGTATCCGCTATTACTAGCAACTCCTTATATTAGGCCCCTTTCTATACTAATTTACCTTCGATTGCTTACTAGTTCTAGTTACGGTTAGTAGCTCTATACTAATCTTAAATATACTTATAAGGGACCTCTCTATTAATTAGGAATATACTTGTCTTTTAAAATACTAACTTAATATTATAAGAGGTAAATATCTTAGCCTAAATAGCTAAGAGCGCCTCTATAAACTTAGGTATTCTAAACTCGCTAATACTATAGTATATAGCCTATAATACCGCTTGCCTATGCCTTAACTTATACGCCTAGAATAGGATTATATCTAAAGGCTATATAAAGTGTAAACTATATAGTTATAGGCCCTATAATTAAATCTTATATCGCTTTATAAAGGCTATAAACTCCTTAAAGTAATAGGAGCCGTAATTGTTATATAATAATACCCTCTACGCGTTTAGATCTTTAAGTCTTATCTTTCCGATTCTTTCGCTTAAACTAGCGGATATAATATATTATAGTATTGTCGGCTATATATCTAGACTCGTTAATAGTAATTAAGAAGTTATCCTTGCCTAAGAACGAGAGTATAGTTAGTAGATATCGTTATCTCGGAAGCGGACTCGGACTCGGAAGTAGTAGTAGTAGTAGTAGTAGTAGTAGTAGTAGTAGTAGTAGTAGTAGTAGTAGTAGTAGTAGTAGTAGTAGTAGTAGTAGTAGTAGTAGTAGTAGTAGTAGTAGTAGTAGTAGTAGTAGTAGTAGTAGTAGTAGTAGTAGTAGTAGTAGTAGACTTACCTTCCTTTTCTTAGACTATATAAGAAGGGTTATATTAGCAGGTAGATAGGGTAGTAGTAGGTACAAGTAGTATTTAATAAGGATCTAGGAGGAGAGGGAGGAAGGTAGGAGAGTTAGCCTATTACTAAGCGCCAAGCCCTGCCTAAGGCATTAAGACCCTAGCTACACTCGAGCCTAGTTATATACTAATTACGTGTAACCTCTTTAGTCCTAATATACGCTTCCCTTCTAAAGGCCGCGCCCTCGTAGCTGGTCTATATTCTAATCTTAACCTCTATTACTACTAACTTAGCAAATCTAATAAGCTACTTAGCCGCGCTAAATTAAATACTTAACTACCTAATTATATAACTATATTAAACCTCACCTTCTAATATAATATCTAACTCTAACTACGCTATTCTTATATATAATAAAGTAATATATAACTACGAGAATTAAGGACTATCGACTAATTATAATACGAGCGCGCCTTCCCTACTATAATAGGTAGGCGTACGAGGTATTATAGCACTGCCTCCGTTCTAAGTAATGTCGTATAACTCGTATCGAGTTTTTTGCGTCTACTCTTAAAAGACCTAGAAATGTCCGCTCCGAGGGATTGTTCTTATTATTACGAGGACTATTATTTACTATCGTAGTTTTACTAGCCCTAATTAGTTAGGTTTAGTAGCCTTTAAATGTCAATCTTATCTTATTTTTTTAAAAACACAGTTCGTCTAGTTTCTATAAGTAAAGGCTATTATAAGTGCAATAGTTAAGGTTCGCCTCGCTTAAAGGGTCGGAAAGATTAAAGAGTAACCTATTATCCGCAAAATCGACCCTAGCTAGCTTAGCTCTATAGTTTTGCCCTTAGTTAGTCTATTAGTCGCTTAATCTTTTAAGTAGCTTAAAGTTTTAATTAAACCCTTAGCAGGTTTAATCTTTTAACTTAGTTAGTATAGTACTTTAGGCTCGTAGTATAGGTAAGGTTATACCTACGGCGTAGTAATAATAGTAGGTAATGTTAATAATAGCGGCGCTAGCCGTCTTAGCGCTAACTTTATCTTCTTCTAATTCCCTTCTTCGACTAGTAATACACTTAGTAATATCGTTACTAATATAGCCGTATCGGCTATTAGTATACTACTAGCTCGTAGTACGACACTATTACCTTTATTACCGTTATTCGCATACGCGCGCGCGTATCCCCGCCGACCGCCTAGGCCTTAGGGCCTCGATAGAATAAAGGAATAAGAGGGGGACCTAAATACTAGAAGAAGGGCCTTATAGGGCGCGTTAGTAAAGAGGTAGAATCCTTAAAAGAGCAGGCGATTAGTTAACGCGCTATAGCGCGCTTATTAACGCTTAGTGCGCGTTTACAATAGTAGTATAGTTTTATTATCCTAGGTTGCCGGTCTTCTAATTAGTTAGCTACTAGTACCCCGGGGGTAGCATTGCCCCCTAGCGATATTATAGGCTCTTAGCCTTCTTCTTATTCTTTACGCTAGTCTAATACTCGTCTAGCAACTTAGTTATATCTTTAAAAGAGCCTTTATCTTCCTACGAGTCCTATTTAGGTAAATAGCCTTGCTACCTTAATAGGTATTCCTTCTTGCCCTATCTAGTTTAGTGCTTTAGGATACGTTCTATAGACTATAGCTCTTTACTATCGGCTAAGACTTCTTCTAACTTAGCAGGCGCTTTATTACCTTCGCGCTAATAGTATAGTTTAAGAAGAGATATATAGAAGGTATCGTAGATAGTATAATAAGGGGGAAGCTATAATTAATAGGCCTATGCGGAAGAGCCCTTAACTTCTCGAACGCGGAATAGGCTAATGTATCTTAGTGCGAGCTTAGGCCTTGTTTTGCTATTAGGGGATAGGTGTTTACGGATACGGAGGTTCTTCGTACTAAGTATAACTATATCGCCTTACTTATAGGTTATTAGCGTATAGTGTTTATTATAATAGGCCTTCTAATAGGCCTAGGCCTTTGCTAGTTTATTAGCTATCTTAGCGTGAATTTCTCGCATCTTTTAAACCCTCTTAATAGCCGCTAGTGTCTTAGGGGTTGATACTTAATACGCTTCCCTTTCCTTACGCTCGGCCTCGAGCGAGGTAAATAGACCTTATAGTAAGGCAGCATTTTAGCCTATTATAGCTATATATAGTAAGACCTTAGTTAATAAGTGTACACTATTATTATATACGAATTCTATAGGTTATAGGAGGTTAACCTAATCCTCGGGGTTCTTATTAATATAACTACGCAGGTACTATTATAGGGTAGCATTCTGCCTCTCGGTCTAGCTATCTGTCTATAGATAGAAGGCCGTAGATAGCCGATACTTAAGTCTTAGCTATAGGCATATCTTACTCTAATAGTAAGATATAAATATCGAGCCTCGGTCGGAAACTATCCCCTTAGGGGTTCCCTAATAGGTATAGAAGATATTAGTCTATAGCGCCTCTGCTATATTAATAGTAGTCTAATCCTTACGCGCCGAGATATATCGAGCGCCTTTAGTAAATCGATCTACTATAATAAGGATAGTATTATATACGTCCTTACTGCCCCTATACTTAGTAGGCGGAAGGCCTATAATAAAGTCTATTATAAGCTCTACAAATAGCTTCTTTAGAACAGGAAGCGAAGACAGCTCGCCGAATAGCAAGTGCTTCGGTGCTTTAACTCGCTAGTATACTATATAGGTCTGTATATACTCCTTTATATACCGCTTACTATTTAGCTAGTAGTATATACGCGATAGTAACTTATACGACCTCTCTATACTATAGTAACTAGCGAGCTTACTATTATAGTGCCTCTTTAAAAGCTCTTATCTAATCGATTGTTTAGCGGAGACATAGTATCTGCCCTTAAACCTTAAGTAACCCTTGTCGTCGATCGACTAACTATTACTCTTACTAGATCGAGTCGCCCGTCTACTTATAAGCCTATTAATATACTCGATAGCAAAGGCGCCCCTCTA